ACACCTCTGGGTCTCTCCCTTTCCCAGGGCCGCTGCCTTCCCACCCACACACATTCTCCTTGGCAGTATTCGCTCCCCCTCTGCCTCTAAAAGATTCTGCATTCTGGTTTTAGGGAGACATCAAGCTCAGTCCTCAAGCCATCAGCTGTCATCTGATGCTCACGCCCCAGTATTGCTTAGACTCTCCTTTACCCTCACTCCCACCAGAAAATTGGTCTTACTATCCCTCCTATTTGTAATCAAAGCCAGCTCCTCTAAGCAAACAAGAATCCTCAAATGGTTTGGGTTCTACGTTGAGCTGGCCTGGAAACACACAGAATGGAGCTATCCCAGTAACGTCCAGCATATGTATTCTTGGAGAGGATGTAAGAAAAACAGACAATTGGAGGGACAAACTCAGCATTATGAGAAAGATGGAAAGCAAAAGCTTATTAAAGCCAGAAATGAGTTACTGGTAAAAGCCTTGCAGTTTGGACACAGCCAGCTCAAAGCTGCTGGCAGAAAGTGCAGGAACAGAGTGTCCCGGGCTGAGATCTTGTAGGGGAGATTTGTCCAGCTCACGTGCCCAGTGCTGCTATGGTCCAAGTGTTTTGGAGGGTGAAATGTTCTGGTTTGATTCTTCTTATTACCCCATAGCTACATGCTTCCTCATCCCTGGTTTAGCAGTAAAACTGACCTCTAAACAGTATCACTTTTCACAGCATTAATGAACTGAGCTCAGCCAGGTATTTCCCTTGAGCTGCTTTACAGGCAACAAGCACTGGCTGCCTCCCTTGACACAGCCCAAGCACAGTCACCCTGCCAGACTGAGGCCCCAACAAGTCCTCAAGGGAACTGCTCACCTTGAGTTTGCTGAATGTGCCAACAGTGTGGTCCCAAGCTGGCACCAAGTGATGTAGGACACTGTCCAGGAGCTTGATGAACCTAAATCCCGAAAAAGGTATTGCAACACAGGAGGAACAGGGATCTGCACAAGTCTATTCCAGACCAGGCAGCCCCTGGGCACAAGCAGAAAAATAACAACTCACCCAAACCAAACCCAGTGTAGTTTTTTACATCACACAGCCTTTGGTACTAAATTTCCACTCCCTGGGCACTGCAGTGAATCTTGCACCCCCTTACAAGGGACTCTGCATGTACAGATATGCATACATACACTGCACAGATATGCTGTGCTTGCAGCACACAAGGCACTGAACTTGAGCTGCAAAACTCCTCTGAAAACATAGGGGAGCAACCCCAGAGAGCCCTCTTTGCTCCCAAATGGTTCTGCTATTTTCTCCAGCGTCCAGAAAGTCTGTCCCAAAGGGAGCCACACAACTTCACAGCATCCAGCCATATGCATGCTGGAGATGGCACCAACCCCTGCAGGCAATGCCACCCTACCTGTCTGCTGCCCTCCACACAGTACCTTTGAATGAGCACGGCCCGCCGGTACAGCAGGTCAGGGTCAGTCCCTTCTAGGCGAGGGTAGCGCACCAAGTTGGGCAGCTGGAACATGTCAGCACTGAGCCCCAAGTCCCTCTGCCGGGAGGATTTGATTTTGATGCCTCGGATACGAACGTCAATCCCGTCATCTGCCAAGGAAGACCATGGATGATATGACCAAGGGAAAATAAGCCCTTCAGCACGGCAGGCCTACAGGCAAAAGCATTAGGAACGTGACCAGCTCCACCAGCTCTGGGGCTGGGCACTGAAAGCCTGAAATATCTCTGTAAAGAAGTGAGGCATTTACAGGAGAAAAAAAATTAAATAACTGGAGGCAGAGAAAGATAGGATGAAAGCTGAGAACTTCCAAAAGATCAGATCTCTCTGGAGTTTCCCTTGGTTCTTTTACATCTCATCAGAAACGTCCCCAAATGACAAGAAGTCACAGAACAAACTCTTTAAGTACAGCATCATACAGGTACATTATGGATGTGGCCACTGCAGCCAGCCCTACCTCGGCACTCCACAATCCGGATCTCGATGACGGGCAGGTGTGTTGTCATGTCCTCAAGGATGCACACATCCCCAATGTAGCTGCTGCAAACACAGCACAGATGAAGGCTGAAAGGCTGTTCCCTCGCCCATCCCGTCAAAATCCACTTGGGTGCTTGTAAGGGAAGAGGGTTTCCATCTTTTGAAATGGGAGCCTGTGGCAGGAACCCAGACCCAGTTGCCTACAATACAGTTGAATGCCTGAACCTGCTGGTGACACAGGTCCAGGTGACATGATTCTGATGTGTCCCACAATCAAACTGGGAGAGCACCAATGACTGTGCTGTCTGCTGTTGTAGGCAGAGCGAACCCACAGCTCAGAGAGCCTGGCTGGGGCCACATGACTGCTTAGGCTTGGAGTGTTCAGCACCTCCAGCCCCTGCAAGGGCCGCGCTAACCTGTGTACCTCCATCCACTCACTCCTCAATGCAGACGTCGTTCAGTTTCTTCAGATTGTCCCCCTCGCCCCCGTACACAGCGACCCGCTGGGGTGTGAAGTTCTCATCGTTGGAATCCACTGTCAGCAGCAGCTTCCTGCAAAGGGAAGCAGGACATGAGGAGAAGGCAAACCGCATCTGAACACCCATTGCTGCTCCCCTTCATTGCCTGGCCACGCTGTCACCAAGCACGTGCAGCTGGTGCTCTGATCCCCAGGTACTTGTGACAATGCCAAGACCCCTTCAAACCCAGAGCCAGGGTAAAGGCTGAGGGGCTTGGAGGGCAGGGCATATTTGGGCCACAACAGACTCAGGCAGAGAGAGGGAATCACAGAACTTGCCACAGTCACAAGCCAGTGTGCAGAGCAGAGATGACTCACTTGACAATGGTGCCTTTCTTCATGTTGAGCCGCACCCAGTGCTGGCCCTGGGACCCATCACTCTCCCAGTACGTGTCAGCACGGCTGTCGGTCAGGCATGACACATTGAAGTCCTCCTGGAAGAGGGCAGTGAATGAAAGGAAGATCAGGTGGGCGTGGGATTAACTTCCCTTTAGTGGTTACTTTTGTCATGAATCTTAGTGTCGGGGCCATCACACTGGCCTGTTCCCTTTGCCTGGGTGTGGGTAGACAAAGGGAGTACACAGGACACTGGCACTGGCCCTCTGAGGTGCCCTGGGGTCACACACAAAGCACAAAATAACAACCCCTCCCTAAAATCAGCTTAGCAACTAATATTAGCATTGGCTTCTCAAACCACTGTCCCTCCAGGGGCACATTACACAACATGCTGCATGATGCTCTCCAGGCTTCTCTGCCACATCCTCAAACATAGCCCAGTCCAGAGCAGCACAGCAAGCTCCACACTCCACAGCCCCATGGCACAGCTGGGCCAATGCAGCCTTGTCCCTTTAACCCACCGTGTAGGACGAGACATCGATGCTGTCCACGTACTGCTTAACGCTGCCCAAGTTCTCATCTTCCTTCCCAATGTGGTCATACAGGAAATGCACTAGGTCTTCATCACATTCGTAAGTCCACGTTGGGGGCACAAACCTACCAGGGAGAAAGGATTACTGGGTCTGCAGAGCCAGAGGAAGCCAGGCTTATAGGTCAAAAAAGGGAGGTCCACATCCCACTTGCCTTGTCTTGCCCCATTTCTTGCCTTTTGCAGGCTTATCTAGGACAAGACTGTGAGACACAGAGCTGTTCTCCACTGTCTGTCTTCTTCCCTTTCCCCCCCACCCCGTCTGCAGGAGACAGCTGTCTGAGGAACCAGGGATAGACAGCACCTTGTGCCCCAACAAGCAGAAGTTGAGAAACGGTTCATACCGAAGCTTCTCTACTGCAGCCTCATCCTGCTCCATGGCCCTGGGCTTTGCTCCCAGGCGCAGGGAGTATGTCAGATCCACCACCTGCTCCCATCTGAAACAGCACAGAGAAGTGGAGGGAGTGATAAAATTCCAAGAGGAACAAAGAGTAGCTTTAGGGGGAAAGTTAGGGTTTAAAGCCCCACCGTGCTCCATCACCTGCAGCCTCAACTGTCACCCTTTCCTTTCCATCCTTCTACACCCAGCCGGGCAGGTGACAAGCACAGTGCCCTAGCCAAACCCAGTTCACTCCACATCTGGCATCCTTCCTGCCTCATTTCCATGGAACATGTCCAGACGGGCTGGGGTTCCCCAGCCCAGAGCAGGAAGGGCCGAGGGGCAGCGTCCCGAGCTCCCGGACAGCTGGTCCCGGGTGAGCACCTCCCTGTTCCCGGGGACCCACCGGGGCATGGCGGCGGCCCCGCACCTGATGACGGGTTTGTAGTCAACCCCGAAGAGCTGCTGCTGCCGCTGGATCCGCTCCGTGGACTCCACGGGCACCAGCCGGTCCCCGCCGTCGGCGTGTTTGCACACCAGCACCCAGCCCTCCTCCAGATCGCAGCCGCTCCGGTACTCCTCCAGCTGCTCCTGCGGGGACAGCGGCCGGTCAGACGGGGCCGGGCCGGGCCGGGCCCTCCGCGGGCTGCGGCCCCCGCGTTACCTTGCTGAGCTTGACCCAGAGCCCGGCGCCGTTGCAGTACTCCTCGCCGGTGGCGCGGAGGCAGCCGCCCTTCCGCACCTCGATGGTGGCCCGCGCCGCCCGCTTCCCGCCCCGCGCCGGCCCCGGGCTGTCCCACACGCTCAGGAGGCTGCGGGCGGCGGCGGCGGCGGCGGCGGCCGCGGGGTCCTTGCAGATCTTGTACTGCACCTCCTTGGGCACGTAGCAGAGCGCGGCGGGCAGCGCCCGGGCGCGGCGGAAGCACTCGCTGCACTGCAGCAGGAACCGCAGCCGGCCCAGCACCTGGTGCGGCGCCTCCCCGCCCGCCCGCATCGCGCACCGGGCACCGGCCGAGCCCCGCTCCGGTTTACGGCGAACCCCGCCCGCCGACAGCCAAGATGGCGGCGCCCGTGCCACGTACGGAGGAGTGAGGAGCAGGGCAAGATGGCGGCGCACGGCGGGGCGGTGTACGGAGGGGGGCGGGGCAAGATGGCGGCGGGCGGGGAGGCGGGACTACGGCAAGATGGCGGCGCCGGCGGGGCGGGCCGGGGGCGGACCTGGGCGGACCGCGCCTCGTCGGGAGGCAACGCGGGGTCCGAGGAGCGGTGCAGGAGATGGAGGGTGGTGAGCGGCTGCTGTGAGTAACTGGGACCAGGCAGGGCTGCGTCTCCTCCTAGTGCGGTGACAGGGGACACACACCGGGATCTGCAAGGGGGACGCTGGTGTGGCTCTAGGAACGGCTGTCTGGGCCTGGGGATGGTGCTTTGGCGCTGGGGTCCTGCACTGGGGACACTCGCGTGACTCTGGGAATGGCGATCTGGCACTGCGGGGGCCCCGGGGGTGGTGCTTTGGTGGCGGGGTGCCGTACTGGGGCCACTGGTGAGGCACCGCCGTGGCCCTGGGGTTGTGGTGCTGGCACCGGGGTCCGGCACTGAGGTCACTCTGTGGGGGTCGATCCTGCACTGAGGAGGCACTGGGAGTGCTAGTTCTGCACTAGGAGGGATCAGCAGGGGCACTGGTGCGGTAGCGAAGTTGCTGGTCCCACGGCGGAGGTTCTGGGGACTTTGTCCCCGTGAGCCCCGCGGTTCTCGGGGTTCCCCATCCCGGGGCCGGTCGGGCTCCAGCAGCCCCTCGGTGATGACACCGCGACGGGGGTGCTGGGGACGCGTGGCCCGGCACAGGCAGGGGCCGGGGCCGCCGGTGGCAGGACTGCCCGCGCCCGCTCGTCCCGAACCTCTCCAGGCGGGAGCAACTGGTGGCCCCGATAACTTAATCTCACGGGCCCTGGGCCGGGCATCGCCTCTCCCTGGGGAGGGCCCCGCAGCCCCCAGCAGGAAGAGGCCCTGGACTGTGGTGGGGAGAATTTATCGCGTTTGTCACAGCTGGGCCCAAGCCCTTCCCTGCGGTCACCGGCTGGGGAGTGGGGACGAGCCGCTGGCCATGGCATCCCCTGCCCCAAACCCCTCGTGGGTGACAGCCTGTACCTGCTCCTTCTCCCGTAGTCCCAAGGGCTTCCCCAAGCTGAAGAACGACACGTTCCTTCGCGCGGCCCGCGGGGAGGAGACGGAGCACACCCCGGTGTGGTGCATGCGGCAGGCGGGCCGGTACCTGCCAGGTGAGCCGGTGGAGGCACGTGGGGTCGGCGAGGGGCCCTCAGCATGCACCCGGTAACCCTTGTGCTGGTCCCTTGCAGAGTTTCGGGAGACCCGGGCGGCGCAGGATTTCTTTGCCACTTGCCGGAGCCCCAAATTGTGCTGTGAGCTGACGCTGCAGGTGAGCGTTCCTCAGCAGGGTCTGTGTGTCTCCCTCTCCCTGACCGGACAGGGATGGGGAGAAGCCTTGGGTCTGGCTTCCCCAGGTGGTGCCAGTAAATTGTTCAGCGCTTGGAGACCCCGCTGCCTCATGTGCTTGTCCAGGCCCTCCGTGGGGAGGGGTCCCAGCCCCTCACTGACACTGCCTCTTCTCCTCTGCAGCCACTCAGACGATTCCCCCTGGATGCTGCCATCATCTTCTCTGACATCTTGGTGGTGCCCCAGGTGAGAGCCATGGCCAACGCCATGGGGAGCAGCCGCTGGGAATGGGGCAGAGTTCAGACGCCCCATTCCTGCTTCTTCCATTCTCACCTGTCCCCAGGCGCTGGGCATGGAGGTTGTCATGGTCCCCGGCAAGGGACCCACGTTCACAGAGCCCCTGAAGGAGGTGGAGGACCTGCTGAAACTGCGACAGAAGGTGGATGTGACCGCGGAGCTAGGTTATGTCTTCCAGGCCATCACTCTGACACGACACAGCCTGGAGGGCAGGGTGCCCCTCATCGGCTTCTCAGGGGCACCGGTAAGTGATGAGGCTCCTCCATGTGGGTTTCCTTTGCCCTCCTGGGGTAACACCAGCCATGACGCCTCCAGATGCGGGTGCTACAGGGCTGTGTAAGTGGGGGACATTCAAGGCAGGAGCAGCTGTGCCTCAGGCTCTGAGGTGCTCACAGGTCCTACCTTCAGCAGTGCGACTGGTGCCTCATGTCTTCTTTCATCTCCATCACCCTCCTCACTTCTCTCCTGCCTGCAGTGGACACTCATGTCCTACATGATTGAGGGTGGCGGCTCCTCTACAATGTCCAAAGCCAAGAGCTGGCTCTACCGGCACCCCGAAGCGAGCCACCAACTGCTGCGGCTGCTGGCCGATGTCATCACTGACTACCTGGTGGGGCAGGTGGCTGCTGGAGCGCAGGTGTGTCCTGGGGTATGGGGACAGGGCCAGGCAGGAAGGCAGGGACTGGGGACAGGGAGCAGAGAGGGTCCAGCTTCTGGGTGGAGGAGGGAGAGGAACTGAGGTGTTGCTCTCCCAGCCCCATGGGAAAGTAGTTGAGTTGCCATCCCTGGAGGTATTTGAGAGATGTGTAGTTGTGGCACCTGGGGATATGTGGTGGTTTGGCAGTGCTGGGTTAACTGCTGGATTTGGATGATTTTAAAGGTCTTTTCCAGCCTAAATGATTCCATGTCTCTGGCAGGCGCTCCAGCTGTTTGAATCCCATGCAGGGCACCTGGGCCCAGAGCAGTTTCAGGACTTTGCCCTGCCATACATCCGAGACATCGCCCAGGCTGTCAAGAGCAAGCTGAAGGAGGAAGCGCTGCCCCTGGTGCCCATGGTGAGTCGGGGCTGCCTGGATTGACCCTGGCTGCTGGAGAGGGGTATATCCCCTTGTACCTGCTTACCCCAGTCTGGCCCGTGGAGAGGGGCCTGACCCATAGCAGAGCTACTGCCCCTCTCCTCCCTCCCCAGATCATCTTTGCGAAGGACGCGCACTACGCGCTGCGTGACCTGGCCCACGCCGGATACGAGGTGGTCGGTCTCGACTGGACCATCCGGCCCCAGGAAGCTCGGTAAGAGTTTGACAGAGCATTCAGGTGCTCCTCTGCCCTGAGCCATCCCATGGCTGCTCCAGAGGAGGGTGGTAATTGGGCCACCATGCTGCAGCAACCAAGGGCTGCACTGAGGGGTCCTGGGTGCCCTGTGGTGGGGGCTGCAGGCACCTGGCTGCCCTCAGCCTCTGCACCACGTGCAACAACTCACAAGCTTCCTCCCGGCTGCAGTGCACAGATAGGGAAGGATGTCACCCTGCAAGGGAACCTGGATCCTTGTGCTCTCTACGCACCCAAGGTGAGCCATGGCCATTTTCAGCCACCGGGGCTAGTTCCAGCCTGTTTTAAAGGCCTTCTGCCTCAATTTCCCCACCTCCACTGCTGGCTTGTGTCCCAGAAGTCCCTTAGGCTGGCTGGGGACTGGGAAGTGGGAAGTATTTTGGGAGGGATGGGTCTGACATGGTTTCCCACGGTGCCTACAGGAGAAGATTGGCGAGCTGGTGAAGAAGATGCTGGAGGCTTTTGGGACCCAACGCTACATCGCCAACCTGGGCCACGGCCTCTACCCTGACATGAACCCTGAACACGTGGGTGCCTTTGTGGAGGCCGTGCACGCTCATTCCCGTCACATCAACAAGCACAGCTGAGCCTGGGGCCTTGGGGATAGGACTCTGGTTTGGGCACAGTCACCCCAAGTAGTGTGTTGTCACAAGGTTTGCTCCAGGCTGGGCTGCAGCATTAAACCAGCACCTTCTCTGCAGCAGCCGTGTGGCTCTGGCTGGGGGGACGGGGAACTGGATGGCCCTGAAGGACATGGGCAGTTGTGGCAGGCAGTTAGAGGGGCATGTGGGGTCAGGGGGAACCCCTGAGCCCCGTCCTGTTGGTCAGAATGGGGAAACAGGTGCCAGCGCAGTGGGATTGCCTCTCCCTGCCAGGCTGCACAGTGTCTGTGCTTGCAGGAGAGGATGTGAGCCCAGAGCACACTAGGCATCTCCTGGCACTGTGGATGCACTCAGCTCTGCTAGGGAGAGGCTGCCTGAGGCTGGCAGGATCACAGGTTTACAGCATGAGCAGTGCCTGAGTCCTGCTCAGGTGGGAATAGGCAACACGATGTCAACCCAGGGCAGCCCAAGGGGGGGGGGAGACACAGCAGGACTCATCTGGGGGACCACCAGCACCCTGCCACACTGGTTGGGATGCACCATGGCCCTATTACCACCATCACCTTCCTCCAGCTCCCAGAGTCTCTCTACGACCATTCCACCAGTCCTGGAGTTCTTCCCCCATGCATACCTCCTCATCTCTCATGATCCTCAGAGGCAAGCTTGCCTGGGGCTCAGCAAACCCTGCAGAAAGTAAACCAGGAACCTTGAGTTATGACTCTCTGCCACCCCATCCCACACTGCAGCACACTCACTGCAGTCCAGGCTGGCTGCAGGATGGATCGAGACGTGGGTGCCAACACTGCTGTAGCTGGCACGGATAGGGCAGTGCCTCCAGCATGATCAGGGACCTGCTAACACCGTGCGTGGCAGGGAATCGCACCCAGAAGCAGCCAGGATGCCTTGCCCCTGCTCCATGCCCCCACAGGAGCTGGGTACCACAGGGAGCAGCGACACTGCCTCCTCCCCGGGGCTCTGCCCAGCAAGCGTGGTGACCCCCTGACTTCAGAGAAAGGCAGGAGAGAGACGGGGGGTAACGTTCATCCCTTTTATTATTAAACATCAGATGAAGAGGTCGCACACACACATACACGCACGCACGCAAAAAAAAAAAAAAGGGAAGGAAAAAAAGAGAGAAACAGACTGGTTGAAGACCGCTATTTCGGTGGCGACAGAGACCGAGTACAATTGGTTTCCTGGCCGGAGTGCGGACACAAGTCACTTGCCAAAAAATTAAAAGTCAAACCAGACAGCAGATAACTAGCCCACGTTCTCTAACTACAAGTCACCATCCAGACCGGCCCTGGTCCCCCAGCCCTCCCAACCCTCGGGCAAAGAAATGAACCAAAACCGAAGGGCCGAGCGTTGGCTGCACCACGGAGCTGGGAAGCAGAACGGTGTGGGGAGGTGACGTGGCTGCACCTGCCCCCTCCCTCCCCGGGAGCCAGGCGGCCCTGGTGCCCACCCGGGCACCTCACACCCTGCACCTGCCGGGAGACCGCTGCGTGCCAGGCGATGGGCTCGCGTCCTCCAGCGCCAGCCCCACATGTGTCCGAGCGAGCATCGCCCCGAGTCCCTTCCTTCGCTGTCCTCCAGCGCTGGGCTGCTGCTCCTCCTTCCATCCGTCCGTCCGTCCGTCTGTCCCAGGGCTGTGAGTCGAGCAGATAGTTCGCCTCCCCCCCACACCCTTCTCGCTGCTGACAATGCCATGGGAACCTGAGAAACGTTCGCGTGCCTCCTCCTCTTTTTGTCTGTGGTTTTGTGTAGTTTTTTTTAAATAATAGTTATAATAATAATAACAATAATAATAATAATAGCAATAATAAAAATAATCGCCCCAGCCCACAACAATTTCAAGTATCCCCCAAATAAAAGACAGAATTATAAATAATTATAACTTTACAATTTAATAATTGACACATATACTATAGTATTTACAGTATCATAAATGCTTTTTTTTTTTTTTTTGTGTTACTTTTAGTAAGCAATCCCTGAGAACAGTTACTTTTACTTGTTTTTATTGAAGTATCTTCACAAATAGAGGAGTTTGCATGTCTCGGGCGGGTGGGAGAAGCGCTCTGCAAAGCCATCGCTTTTGGTGACGCATGAGGTTCTAGTGTCGCAGGTTTCTTTGCTCGCTTTTTTTTTCTTTCTTTTTTTTTTTTTGTTCTTTTTTTTGTTGTGTTTTTTTTCTTTTTCTTTTTTTTTGTTAAATTCCCCATGTTAAGTTTAAAGATTTTTTACACTTTGCAACCTTCGTATCCCTCCAGCGACCGCGTCCTTCAGGAAAGAGGTATTAGATTTCCAGGTTAGCTTTTGGTATTGGCAAGGGAGGGCAGGGGGCTGAGTGAACCATCCTTTTTTCCCCGTGGTTGCCTTTTGGTTTGTGCCCAAGGAATCTCTGGATCCTCTCAGTGTGTGAAATGGTTAAATCCAAGAAAGAATAACATTAAAAAAAAAAAAAAAAAAAAAAAAACAAAGAAAAAAAAGAAACAGAAGACCAGAACAGAGCAGCCTCTGCCGATGGGGGGAAGGTGATCTCCACTTTCCTTCCTTCTTCTCTCCCGAGTCCCCATGCTGCGGGCGGACCCTGCCAGTGAGCACGGCAGGAGCCGGGGCTCACCCAAACCGTTCCCGCACCAGCAACATCAGTTTTTTCTTGCCCTTGTAGATTTGTTTGAGATTGTCAATGAACTGGGCGAACTGTATGTGCCCGTCCTGCGCCAGGAGGAAGGTCTCCCTGGCCTTGCTGAGGAACTCGATGAACTCCCCGTAGTGCCGCGGGCTGATGTGGGTGAGCCGGGAGTGGGTGGTGTTGATGTAGGCGCTTATCGTCGCGTCCAGCAGCTGTCGCAGGGGGGCTTTGTCAGTGGACATCAGCTTCCCCGAGTTCCTGCGGCCAGGGATGCCGGCCAGCCCTGGGGCTGTCATGGTGCAGCGGCGAAGGATGTCCGAGAGCACCGTGGCACAGTGCACGCTCTTCACCACCAGCGGGATGATGGCCGCCAGCTCGTTTTTGCCCAGAGAGTGGCTCAAGGCGCAGGCCCAGAGCACGTCGTTGATGGCCGGGTGCGTGTCCTGGTTGTAGGCCAGGTTGAGATGCGTCATGGCCAGCGAGGCCAGTTTGAAGGCCCGGAGCGGGTAGCCCCGGTGCTCCATGTAGCGGGCAATGGTGAAGAGCTGGGTGTAGGTCATGCCGGTGGAGGCGGCGTCGATGACGATCTGGTAGGCAGTCTCGAAGGCAATGTGGTCCTTCTCGCAGAGGGTCAGGGCAGACAGGGCGCAGTTCTGGGGGTCCTTCATGGCACACTGCAGGGCCAGGGTGCGGGCGCAGCTGGCCAGCTCCTCCCGCTGTGGGTAGTCCAGGCTCAGGCGCAGGATGGTGTTGTGGGACATCACTGTGGCCGCCACAATGCTGGTGGCTTCCGTGGGAGTGAACAGCGAGTACCAGCTCTGCAGGATGCTCACCAGGGCCCTCACCCCTGCAAAAAAACACTGTGGTCACAGCACAGCCCTGGAGCCTGGCTCAGTTCACAGGGCTCCTCTGAGACCTGAAAGCCAGCCCACAGCAGTGCTGAGCTGCTGCCCCTGCCTCAACAGGGACAGGCAGAGGCTGCCCTGTGCTGCCACGCTGCAGGGCACAGCAAGCACCGCTGGCCAGGACCCATCCCCGTCCCAAACCCAGCCACTGCTGCAGCCCCAACCCCAGCTGGTGCTCTGAGGTGCACTCAGTTACCCAGGAAGAAATGGGAGACCCAAGAGAGCTCAGATACCCAGAACTACAAATGGCCCTAGGATTTCCATGCCCACTCCCACCACATGTGGGCCAAATCCCCCCAGCACAGTGAGGCACTCACCCACTTCGGTAGCACATGTCACCAGCCACCTCACCATCTCCCGCCGCCGCCAGTTGAGGGTGGACAGGGTCATCCGCATCACCTGTGAGGCAAACTTGGGGTGAATGGCTGCCCCACACGGCTCCAGGGAGGCCACCAAAAAGAGTAGTGCTCCTCAGAAACTCCCCTGGTCCAGCTGGCTACCAGCTCTCTGGTGCTGCCTCACCTCCACCCAAACCACAGTGAGCACAGGGGCTTCCCAGGGCTGAGCTCCCCTGCTCAGGACCATGCAGGGATCAATTTACTCATTCCACAGGGAGCACCCTGCTTGGTGGAAGACCTTCACCAGTGTTGCTGCCAGAGCGTGTGGGGCAGAAGGGCCACCAGCATCCCCAGCACTATCCCGTACCTGGAGCCCCAGTTCCAGCGCCACATTGAGCAGCGTGGTGTCAGAGTTGCTGTCAGCTGGCGTGGCGATCTTGAATGCATCCTGAGCCAGCTTGAAGATCAAGGAGGAGGAGTGGATGTTCTTCTGGATGGCCTCCAGCACCGTGCGTAGGCGCAGCATGTCCCCTGTGTGCAGGCAAGAACGGTCAGATGGCTCAGCCTTCCTCCACCTTGCCCTTGAGCATCACCTCCTGCCTGCACCACCTTGTGAACAGTCCCTTCAGCCCCTCTGGACACACAGGGATGCTGGATCTGGCCCTGCAGTCCAACAGTCCAAAATGCACCATCCTCCCCAGGAGGTGACACATCCTACAGCATCCACCCTCACTCAAGTTCATCCTCTCATGGAGAGGACAAAAAACTCTGAGTGATCCCAGACATGTCCAGGAGTTTAAGCTGACATTTCCAGGCACCTGGTTGTTCCACTCTGTCCTCAAGTTCAACAGCTGTACAGCTGCCTCTTCCCAGGAAAGGAGGGGTTTGGGGAGATGCCCAGTACTGAAAGGCTGCAGAAAGGTCAGTTTTCATTCAGGAACATTAAAAAGAAGAAGAAAAGCTGTTTGCTGCACACATACTGCCTTGCCCAGTAAATCCCTTCCCTATGCAAGGCTGTGCTGGGGTCACCCAGACTCTCACTTGTTCCTGGATATCCCAGATCAGGCAAGCAGCTCTTGCAACCAAGGCAGGCTGAGCTACGCCCAAAGAAGGGGGTTCATGGCACTACACCAGTGATGCTGTGGGTTTCCTGCCACAGGAGGTCATGGGTGCTAGAAGGATACATGATGGCACTGGGAGACAGGGCAGGATCTTGGAAGAGGGACCCATCAAGGCATATTAGTATCATGATCCTGCATCTAAGCTTGGGGAAGAGGGACCTTTGGGGTGTGGGCAGAGCAGAGGTGCCAACGTGCCACACCAGGTCTCTTCATGTTCCTACTCCCAGAGTCGCAGACCGAGCAGATGAACCTCATGCAAAGACAACCAAATCACGCACAGCAGTGTGAAAAACCCAGCGCTGCACCTGGACACGCAGAGACATCTCGGGTGACTCACAGCTAAAGATATCGCCTGCCGCCCACCGCAGCCGCTCGCACCGCCACCAAAATCCAGGCCTCCCTAAAAATGGCTCGTGGGGGCGCAGGCAAGAGGGGCTGCGAGGACGCAGGATCACATCAGGACGTGCTGCAGCAGGGGAACACCCCAGGAAGGGCACAGTGGGAAAAACAGATGCAATCCAACAGCTCCATGCCCCTCATTCCCCATCAGGCACTGGAAGGGAGAAAAAAAACCTAAAGGATAAGCCAGGTACCAGCTCTCCATCAAGGCACTGCAAGTCAGGGGCAGGACACCATCAGCCCTGGAAAAGCAGCCTAGAGGAGGAGGCTGGAAGGAGAAAAGAGGCTGCCAAGGCAGCGAGGCTGGAACTTTCTGACAGCTCATTTTCCTTCCGTCTCATTGGGAAAAATCTTCCCCATCAGGCTGGCAGTACCAGGACTACAGTGGGCAGTGGTACCTGCTCGGCCCACTGACCCTCATGGGACGCAAGGCTTCCTTGTGGGGCTGGTTTCTGGTCAGAGGGATGTTTAATGAAAAGCCTGTGCTCGCCTTATCATTGTGCCTGGCAGGAACTGAAGAGGCCCAAGGGACCAGTGAGGAGGTGTTTCACGAGCCCCTTGTGGCTGGGAACAAAGTGTCCCACCCAGCACGGCTGATCCCATCTTCAGCCCTGACAAAAGCCACTTGTGGTTTGGTGCCCAGGGAGGTCTTCTCCCTCCAACAGCCCATGCAGGATCATTACCACACGACAGGAAGAGACAAAGCAGAGGTCAAAGGATAAGCAGCTTCAAACTAAACCATGGCATGAACCCACGACATGCCTGGCAGGGCTCACTAGCCTGGCAGCTGACTGTGCTGCAGGGCAGACATGGTCCTGCATCACCCAGGACATGCAGCACT